ACAACAAGGCTACACCGGTAAAGGCAAAGGACGGAGGTTATAAGAGTGATAAAGGTGCATGGCCGGCTTGCATGAAAAGTCACAGAGCCAGGGTTTTAGTCGATGTACACATGATAGTTAAGCGTTGTGTATTCTTGAAGTTCTTCAGCGGTGTTATATGTACAGTCGGATATGCAGCGGTGTTTCATGGGTTTATACAAGACAAGCGGCTTTGTAATGGACATTGCGGAGCGGCATAGGTAGCTGGCTAGTCATTACTGATTCTTGGCATGTACTGTAATCTACAACATTCTACATATCTTTTCAATATCGATCCCGACTCTCCCTCTTCGATGTTTGTGTTGCGTAACTGTTCTTATCTCTCGATCGAAACTTGTCGCACATCCTAGGGAAGTCGCGCAAGTCTTCCCAATACCTTTAAATTTACGCACATATAGCGCGGGTTCTGCACGCGCACACTGCCTCGAGACTTTTGTTTGCGAGTATTGTCAATATTTAGATTTTCATGTGAGCTGTGGTTCATACGCCCGAACGGCATGAAGGCCTGCGCATCGCTTGTTTGTGCCTAACAAGCGGAAATACCGGTCTCTCAGCAGCATAACGTGAATCGCACGGCTTTCGACGGCGAACAATCGCGTCACAGACAATAGCCATTGTTCGAGTAGCTCTTCGTGAACTCTGGTATTGTCACGTAATGAGTCAAATATCGAGAGTCACATACAAGAAGTCAAGAGGAGAAAGTCACCAAGATGGAGTCACATGCGATTCATGAAGGCCGAGGGCGTTTGTCACTGCTAGATATAAATAGTTAGACGTGCTGTACTTTTCCTTCTGCAGACCACCAACAACAACTACAACTACTACTTCCACCATTCCAACGTTGTATCAAAGCTCCAACAATCTACTGCCGGCCAGTAGCTTACTCATATACTCTCGAACTAATCGAACACTCGCACGCTCGAACACTCGAACACTCGAACACGAAGATATCCCAACGTATACCTAGTCAATCACTATGTCGACCAACCGCGCCGGCGAACCCTATCCAAGCGATATAAGGAGAGAAACTAAAAACGGAGAAGAACGGGCTGGGGAAATCGTTGCTGCAAATCCTTGGATAGTGGGACAGGTGAAAATGGACTTTATTCGACATTTCGCAACCTTTTGGGTCGCCCTTTGGAGACTCAAGTTCGATTTAGCCCGTGTAAATGGTATCCGAGCGAAAAGAAATACGGAAGCCGAACTTCACACCATGCTCACGAAAACTTGCCACGCGGTTTGGCAAGGGCCACCCCCTGGAGATCTCTACATTCCAGGAGTCGCTAGCTCTAGAGGGAAGGAGCGTGGTGCCTATATTTATCCAACCCCAGCATCTATCCGGCTTTTCACCAATGGAGATCTACTAAGCGAGATGAATCCAGATGTAGTGCGCAGCGTCATGCAAGGTACTACGGGCGGTGTCGGGGCTACGCAATCAGGTACTCTACAAACAAGACAAGCATCGTCAACACAACAGCTTGGGAATCAACATGTAGGGTATTCTACACAACCGCCACCTCAAGGTACTTCTGGTAGGGCCAGTCGCCAGGAAAGCCCTTATGACCCTGTCGCCGAACTGGGGAAAATTCTCGATGATCCTAAAAATCAACCTCAGCATCATTCTCGCAATGAAAATTCGGTGGACCCACAATCGAAGTGGCCCGAAACCGCAAAAGCGTGGGGAAAAACACCCGCAAGCGGCCAGAGTGGTGCCACTTTCAGCTCGTGGAGCGCACTTAACTCAAGAGTAGCCAACAGTGCTCTACAAACTGGATCTCCCCTGCCACAGCCATATCCGCCACATTCTACAGCCCCTCATCATGATAGTTCACGTACATCACGAGTCAATGCACCAGCACCCACCAGCGGATACCGAGGTATTCCACCAGCACCCACCGGCGGACACCAAGGTATTATACAAGCACCCGCCGGCACACCACGACATACTATAGCACCTGCAGCGGGTGGTGGACGAGGCTACGGCCAAGGATCCGCCCATCCTGATTCTGTAAGTAGAGGTAGAGGCGGAAATTCTAGAGGGAGGGGGCGCGGGAGGGGACGCGGTACCTGAGGTTAAGATGCATGGTACGTACACAGTACGTGGAATCGGAGATGGTATAAAGGAATTGCCGGCGGTGCTGTTCTTTCTTTGCGTGGGCGTTGTCTCTGGCATAATGTTTCGAGTTTCGATTGCTTCCTTGCTTACGGAACGATGGTCTACGGATGGACACGGTCGTCCGTTCTCTTTTCCTTGCTCATTGCAGTCGGTGTATCGGATAGGCTTTCTGGAAAGGCCTTGTTTACCATTGCATGTTTATGGCGCGGGCGCTTCGGTATTGGTTTGGTGGTTTGCGATGGTCGTGAGAGCGGGTCTTTCTAAAGCGAGTGTGTTTATTGTATCGGAGGGTTAATACTGGGACTTGAGAATGCGGACGTGTATATAGCTAGACGAAAATATGAAAATACAAAAAAACGATACATGGGTGTTCATGCGCTGGGACTGATGTGGCGACGATGGCGCCGAGCGCATGGATGGTGGGTGAAGAGTAGAAGGAAAGGTGGCCTGCGCAAAGACCATCGATACGCAATACTAAAATAGTATATTGGAAAGGATACCACCGAGCAGTACGATCCACGCATCGGCGAACAACACGCGCGATGAGAAAGGAAAGAGCACCACGATGGTGGTCGGAGACGTGACGCGTCGATACCACGCTAGGAGCTCACGTCATCAACCTCGGTGGTTCCACCATGAGGTCACAGCCTCGTTCCGCAACCTCATGCCACACCCTCATCCCTCATGGCACAGCCCCATTCCATAACGAAGGACAGAGTGCACCTTTGACTCAGACTGGGGCCTAGTCATGGCTAGACCTCATTACGCAACCCTATTCCACAGGCACGTTCCTCGTTCCACAACGAAGGACAGGGCGCGCCTTTGACTCAGAATGCGACCTGGTCATGGCTACACCTCAGTCCGCAATCACGATGCCGATCATCATCATCGGCACGCGTACCCAACGCGAACACCACCACACCCAGCGCCAACCCATATATTCGGATTTTGACGGTTTTTAGACATGACTCGCTTATCTCCTATCTTCGAGACACGATGACAGCGTCATGCAGATGATGAAGCGCGTTTTTGGTAATGAGGAAGAGAAGAAGCGAGCGCACAGGAACATGAAAATCTTCTCGGTCGAATTTGGAACGAGGACATCACTTCGTGAGCCAATGATTTTGGTCATTCGCAGCTGCGAGGTAATGCAGAAGATGGAGAACGCGTGAAAGATGACGGGTTTTATACTCGAGCACCGCATCCGACGCTCTCGTCGTAATTTTCTTCGTTGTTGAGTTTTGATGTAGCGCAGGCGGAACGCGCAGGACATGTGCATTTTCATCGTAGGCTTTTGATATCGGAAGTACAGCCCCATCTCCACGGACGCATACACGAACTCGCAGTTATTTCTGTTGAAAGCCGCCATGAATTGTCCTTGTGGTCATTTTAATGTAAGAATTAGAGGCAGAGCGAGACAACCATCGGCTTGAAGTGCACCAAGTTTTGGACCCAGACATAGGATCCATCTTGGCTTATTTTGGTAAAATGCAGGAAGAGTAGCGTGAGGCAACAAACTTCCCACAATCCCGATCGGAGCTTTATACCCGCCATCAACGCCAGCCTCGGCCGTAGAGCCAACCCAGACAGCGGAGCGCACATCATCATTCTGTAGAAGCGTTTTGGAAAAGGTTTTGCATCAACGAGCGGACAAGTCCGTACAACATATTAGGACTGCGGACGGATCTCAGACACCGACATATTCGAGGGCCTCGATTGGTTTTGAATAGAGAAGGAAGGGGAGACAGCGCGCAACATGCCGGGTCTGTATCACAGTTTTGGTCGATTAGTCCAGCGAACCATGGCTTGTGCGATACATGTTTTAAGGTTTTGGTATCTCTGCAATCCAGGGAAAGAAGAATGTTAGATAACAAGACCACTCTCAAAGTCGACGTAGATGTAGGGAGGAGAGAACCAGGCGAGCACATCAGCAATCCTCACCCTGTTCTTTTGGCTTTCAGAACATCCACAAACATCTTGACCTTTTTGTGTGTTTTCGACAGCATGGCGTCTTTGAGCGTTATTTTTTGGTTGCCAGCGTCGGGAAGACTAAGAGGAGGAGATCTCTGCTCTGCTCATACGCGCGAGCTTCCAGGCATTTTGGAAAGAGGAAGAAGACAGAGGGACAGACATGCCATATGGGGATTGGCGTTTTTCGAGAAAGCGCCATGTATCCTTCATCGGCGTCTTTGAGAGTGCCCGGTGGGCATATGTGTAACGGAGAAGGTACGATGCCGAGGGGGCTTTATATATGCTTCCACTGGCTGCCATGTCACGTGCATCGATCTCTTGACGGCGGTGGCGAGGATGAGTGAGCCAGTCCAGATCCCAAGGAGCAAAGACGCGGAAACGCGTGGCCAGTCCTGCAACGCGCATCGAAGATATCACGAATTGACCAAGAGGAGGCATATTTCAGAAAGAGTAGATTGCATGCCTCAGCCGCTGCATATTTTGGTGCTACAAGAAGTCCCAGATAACCATTTCCGCACGCAAAACTCAACTTTTGGAAACTTCAAGAGTAAAGCATATCAAAAAGTCAATCGCCCAAGTCATGTCCACGCTGCCGCCTCGTGTGGAACCCAAACTCATTGGTATATCGCAACGCCTTTTGTTGGCTATCATTTCCGTGAAATGATCGCAGACAATCTCGCAAAACCCCGAAAGCAAAATCCACACCAAAACCATCGCCCAAATAGCATGCATACGTCATCCAGCGTTCCCCGCAGATATGCCAGAAGCCTACTCATCGCTTCACGCCCTTCTCCTAGAGCTTGCCAAGCGGATCGTCAGGGCTCGCCGCAAATTTTGTCAAGTTCGCCACCCTCATCCTCATCCTCACCCCCACCTACAGCTTCAACGGCTTCCTGTAGAACGGGCCGCAGTAGTTCTCAAGGCCGCCTTCACAGTCCACTCCCAGGAACGGTGAACCGTAGTCATTCTTCAGAAACCGCCTATCCTTCGGATCAACATGAACTCCCTCTTTCATTGCCGTCTCAGAAAGGCGGCCGTTAACACATGCCACATCCAGCTTTTGCGGGCCCAGCTTCTTCAGTATGTTGATGTATATTTCCTTGAGGCGAAGGACTTCCTCGCGCTGACGACAGTATTTGAAGCCGTAATCGCGCTGCAAACAGGCCGGGGGCTCGTCGTCAACCGGATCCAGGATGAATTGTCGTAGGCGCCAGACGGTGGAGCGCTTGGTGGGTGGTATGGAGAGGAAGGTCTTGAGGTAGGGGAACAAGTTTCGGAAATGGCTGTATTCGTACTTATCGAAGACTTTGACCATAGAATGCGTTTCCAAGGCAGTATGAAGTTCGCGGAATGCGGCTTCGGGATCTTCGGCCTCCTTCAATATTGCGACGTAAAGCCCTGCTAGCTGTCTTTCTTGCTCTTCATCCTTTGCAGTCACGAAGCCGAAACTGAACCATGCGGCTGTCTGCATCTGTAGCAGTCTCTCTCTGACAACGGTGCCGACGAGTTGTGCTGTCTCGCGCTTGGTTGCGGGCTGCAGGCAATGGAGTGCAAGATCTCGATCCTTTTGATTGAGGTAAGGCTGCACCACGGTCATTAGTGGACCGAGGCTGGTGAGAGCTTGCTGAGGAGGAGGAGAAGGAAGAGGAAGAGGAACAGAGGCTAGGATAGGAGCCGAAATTGCCGTTTCGATCGCTGTCGCTTCGTACTGCTGCATCCGCTTCGACTTCTCCTTTCGAGGTGGTGAGGTCGGCTTGATGGTGCTTAAGGACATCGCGCTCGCCATCGGAGTGGCAAACGAAACATTCTTCACCGGCGACTGAGGCCTTAAGTGGAAGTTAACGTTCCTGAACGTTTGCGAAGACCTAGCAGCCCGAACCAAGGTGCTGTAGAGACGTTCGGGAAAGCCGAGGGCGCAGATGAGGTCGAACAACTTGTTGGCGAAGTGAGTCTTCTCTAGAAGGTATCGCAGCCGATCCCGTAGATTGTGATTTACCCTGGTTGTAGTTGAAGCGAACTGGATGAGTTTATTCAAATCTCTCATTGAGCCATCGAAAGCATGGACATCGTGAGATAGCCTGATGATATCATCGCCAAGTTCTCGATCCATCAGTGACCCTTTAGCGTTAGCGTCATCAATGCCGAACATTCTCGTAACAAGCTCATCGAACGTAGTCCGGTTCTCTTCGAAGCCCTTTTGTATACTTCGTATGACTTGTTCGACTTTATCGTAGTTGGCTATAAGAATGATATCCCATAGTTCTGAGCAAGCGCGGTCGAGTGGCGGTCCTAGAAATGTTAGCGACGAATGCTTGAAGCCAAGTGTAGCATACCAGAAGAATGAGTCGCAACAGCGGCCAGCCCATCTTCGAGCTCGCGCACAAATTTGCGTAGTCCTTCATCAAGCGCAATGTTTGGCCGGGGCGACTGTTTGTCTCTAGTCAAGAAGACATCCATGGCGTCGACGTTGGGCGCCTCTCGTATGTTCGCTGCGGTGCCTAGCATCTTTGATAGGCGCCTTACGAACCGTTCCTTCAGGCTGAGCGTTATGCCTAGTCCCTTTGTCGGGATTATTCCAGTCGAATCATCGATGAGATCTTCCTCTACGAAGATGCCATAGGGACTTTCTTCGCAAGGTTCATCCCCAGTCGTCGCGCTTCCTGGATGCTGCTGTTGTAGAGCCATACTGCCGGGATATGAGGTCTGCTTCCGTTGAAGTGAGACGTAAGTTCGAGATAAGGTGAGTTATCGTTAGGAGTAGAGGTTAAGTGTTTGGAGGGGCGCAGTCTTAGTAATGACCTATACCGCCAGTCAGTACAACTCGTTTTCGGGGTGTATCGAGAACGAAAGACTCACCGCTTTGATGCGCAACCTCGTCGAGCGCACAACTGCGTCCTAGTTGCTAATTCTCTCGTTGGAGAATACCTTCCGCTCGATGATGGCTGACTTGCCAACTGATAGGGATATCGTGAGGAGGGTTACTCCATGAGTTATCTTCCGAAAGGTTGGGCAATAGTAGTTGCTTTTGAGTAGATTCCGAATGTGGTGCAGGAAAGACAGAGATTCAGGGCTGAGACGTTGATATAGACGAACAGCGGTGACTGAGGCGACTGCCTTTACCTTTACCTCGCGTTATCGATGCGAGAGATGACGTAATGCGTTGCCAACCTATTGGCAGGAGGATAGGCAGAGGTAAAAGGTAAGAGAGCGGTATGGCGCGGGGCCATTCTAGGCCAATCTGGCCCGTTTGGATCCGGAAAGAGCAGGAGCGAGCGACGAGAACCAAGATGACGAAACACCGAGACGGTGTAAGGAAAGAGCGAATGGGAGAGTTGCACATGAAGAACTTCGTACATGGTTCTTACACTGAACACAAGGAAAAGAATAAAGACGCTGCAAGCGATGCTAATACAACAACAACCAAGCCGGCGCCGATGCATGCGATGCTGTACAACCATTTCAGCCTGCGCACTCAGACACTGAGGCCAGTACGGAATGGACTAGACACAGCGGCAGCAGTACTACAACAACCACCTCTCCACCTCACACACACCCCATCTACCCCCCAAACCCAAACACCTCCGCGGTACTCAACATACTCATCCTCGTCCCCCACAGCGCAATAACAATCAACACCACATCCACAACCAGCAGCACCACAGCCCCAACCATAAACCTCGGGCAAAAGATCCTATAAAGCATAAGATGCCTCCTCAGATGCCCCGCCCACATCGTCGTCGCCAGATTAACAGTCGCATAAAACAAAACATGCGTAGCCACCGCCTTCGTAACCACACTAAGCAGGCCCTTCTTCTGAGGCTTAACCTTCCAAAGCACACACGCCGGTACCGCAATAGCGCAAAGGATCTGTGCGCCGAACGTGTTGAGGATGACGATGATGGGAGTCCATGGGTAACGTATCTTGGTCAAGGGGATGAAAGCTGATTCCCATTGGATGGAGGAGAGGGTGGCTTGGTGGCCTGTTTTGAAGAAGTGGAAGGAGCCGAGGAGGCCGAGGACGACTGGGCCGATGGCGGATTGACGCAGGTTGTTCGTGTCGATGATTTCGAAGAGGGAGAAGAGTTGCCAGACTAAGATGCCGATTGCACCGGCGCCCATGGGTTTCTGCAACACGGCGACGGCGAGGTACCAGATTGTGATGAGGAGGGCGTAGCGTGAGCCGTGGACGTTTGCGAAACCGTGGATGATGACTTCTTCCTTGGGGGCGCCGTTTTCGTCGACCCCGCCGTCTTTGTTGATGATGACGTTGAGGAGCGGCTTGGACCAGTTGTAGATTGAGTAGCCAAAGGCCATGCTGATGGCGAGCACGATCTGGGCGAGGAAGCGCTTCGTGATGCGGATGATGTTTTCCCAGCCGGGGGCCCATTCGCCGTCGTCGGCGGCGTCGAGGGCCCAGTATGCGGCGGACATCATTAGGCCGAAGCGCAGTGCGAGACCTATCCAAAGGGTCGCGTAGTGCTGGTAGCTCTTGGTGCCGTCGTAGTAGCTCTTAATGAATGTGGGGATGAGGATGGCGGCAGCTACGGGAATGGCGAGTTGCCATGGTGCGGATGTAGTTGACAGAGCGGATCCATAGTATGTGGACTTGCAGTATGGCATCTGCTCTTCTCTGCACAGTCTCGAGAAGCTTGCAACCCTGAGCAAGATGGTGAACAGGATGGAGTGGTAAGCACCTAGAGTTCGGTCTGAGATACTCTTTCGGCGGAAAGATGAGATAAGCGCAAGAACACCAAAGGTGGTCAGGAAGTACAGGAGAATCTCGTCCTCCCAAATGGTGAATGAGTTGGCTGCAAAGCCGCCAGAGAGCGCAAGAGTGAAGATGACGCTCGTCCAGCCCCAGATGCTGTTTGGCACTGGAGGCATGAGCCGGTAACTCAGCGAGTAGAAAGTAGAAGCGCAGCCGACAATTCCTGTGAGAGCAGAGGAGAGGACAAGGACGTGTGACTTGGCGTCCACTGGCATAAAGATGGTAAAGCCCACACCAACAATACCCCCAAGAACCAAACCAATGGCGCCACGAGTAAAGAAGACGGGAGTGACGTCGGCACGATCGCCATGCAGAATCCTAGCGTAGAGGGCAACTACGATCAGACTGGCGGCCAAGACCGTGACACCGCTGACCATCCTAGGGACGTCGAATCGAGCCCAGAGGTCGCGGCAGATGCGGAGCGTATCGCGCTGGTAGGCACCGAAAGCCTCGTACGCCTGGCGCATCTCGTCACTGTTGGCCTTGGACTTTCCGAGCGAGTTCCACGCGTCATTTGCGTTCTTCCAGAGGGCAAGCGAAGAAGCCCTTGCGCTGTCAGCAATGCCACGAACCTTGGCATACTCATGTTGGTAGTTGTGGATTTGCGCAGCTGTCAGTCGGTTGACAGTAGTCAGATTCTTGTAGTCAGCACCGTCCTTGCCAATGAAAGCTTCTTCGATGGGTTTTCCGAGGTTGTTGAAAGGTATGGGCATGCCCAGAAGAAGCGAGAGAGTCGGGACTAAATCGATCTGTCCAACTGGCCGAGTCTTTGCGTTGGCTGGAGGAGCAACATAGTCAGGGTTGCTGCGTCCGAATACCCCCTTCTTCGAGTACATCCACAGCGCAGCCTGGATCTCATCATCCGACTCTCCGCCATGGTCACCCTTTGCGTCCATACCGTGATCTCCCATAACAACTAACAGCGTGTCGTCATCAATGGTCCTAATCATGCGCTGGAAAACCTTGTCCATCTCGCTCAACTTCGCGGCCATGGCAGGGTGATCGGGTCCGTAACGGTGTCCAGCATGGTCCACGCCCAGATAGTGACCGAATATGACATCCCATTTGTCGGCATTCTCAGCCTGCAACAGTGGGAAAATGTGCTCACTCACGCCATAGTCAACGGTGTGTAGATCCCAGACGTTGAACGAATCGTACGCGTGCGTGAGGTTCGGCTCGAAGTAGTCCGGGAAAAGCGCGTGCCATGTGTCGTCACCGAGGTGAACCATCCTCTTGCCCGCATTCTTCAATTGTCCAACCAAGTTGTCCTCAAGAATCTCCTGGCCCGCAAAGTTGCTACCGACGTCGATAAACGTAGGCAACGTGCCCGTTGTGAGCCCCTTCAACCTCTGCATCGTGGCCGTCGGCGGGTCAGCGATGAAAGGCAAGAGGAACGCGTTCTGAGGCTGGTTCCTCGCCGTCTCGTATAGCACGGGGAAAGCATTGTGAAAATGGCGCGGGGCGATTGGAGGGGCTTGGGACGGGTTCTCGGCTTCGACAGCGAGATCGACAGGTTCGAATTGTTCGGGGAAGGGCACAGTGAAGTCATATCGCAGCGCGTCGACGATGATGACGACTGCTTTGTTGAATGTCTTCGGGTGCCAGCACCCCTTTTCCGCGTCGCCCGGTGTGTACGCGTTCGCAGAGTCGATTGGGGGGAGGGCGCATTCTGACTTGTGGTCGAGCACCAATCGCGTGAGAAGGAAGCCGCTGGTGAAGAGGTAGATACCGAGGATGTGAAGTATTCTGGTAGCCGTTAGCGATGCATATCTTGAGGGCAAAGCCGGGAGAGGGCTGCGATGGAGAAACCTACAGTATGAAGGTAAAGAAAGCGACAATGATGCCATGAGCGGCCTTGAAGTGCACCTGTCCAAGCCTCTTCGCCTTATCAGGGTCGTGTACAGCCGTCCGCTGACCTTGCGACGGCTGCTGCTGTTGTGGCTGTTGCGCCGGCTTCTGAACTTTGGGCGCGGTGCTCCGGCCGGCGGTGATGTCGGACAGAGGCGTGAAGACCTCGCCGTTCTCCATGACGGATAGAGAGGGGTGGCCAATTGGCGCTTAGCAAATGCCAAATGGAGATTCAGTGGGATTCAAATGGCTGAAGAGGCCTCAAGGAGCGACAGAATCCATGGGAAGAAAGTTGGTGCGCTGTTTACAAAAGTGAGGATGTGTCGCAAGCATCCACAAGTGGATCACCCATTTCGCCGAGCCTCCGATGTCATGCATCCGCCATCGAGGTACGCGCCTCGCGCCCGTCGCTAGCTGTGCTTGGGTCTTGTAATACGAGCCTTGACATTATACCTGCATGCTTCCCGTTCGTACCAGAATACCCAAAGACCCTGCATGCGCTGGTTCATTCCCGTCCATCTTACATCACGATCAAATGCACGCGTTTTGTATGTCTTGACAAAGGATTGTATTGGCTCTCATGCTGCTCTGCGCAGTCACTAGAGAGTGAGTTGTATATCATACATTAGTGAATAAGAGTTATGTAAGAGGTGTAGAAACCTCGTTGAAGAGATGGCCAATCATCAGGGGGTATACAGCAAAATGGCCAGTCAACTCCGAGAATATACATGAATGGTGTGCCCTGCCGGCTATGCCACAGCTTCAGCAGGAACGGAGAAGCTGACAATCAGCGCGGTATAGCCGTCATCAAGGGTAGTCGGTCGTAGCCAAGTGGCTTGGATGCCCGGGATGCTAGACTTTCCGTAGCAGCAGTCTAGCCGGGTGTTGAGATTGGTGTCATGAGATTCATGAGTAGTATTTGTCGTCCTTCTCCTTCAGTCCGCCCATGCGATCCAGGTCGAGGGAGTCGAAGCGGTCTGATGCGTCGCGCTGGTAGGCTGGGAGGTCCTCTTGTACAGGCTCTAGTCCGACACTGTGGTCTCCAACGCGAACGACGACAACGCGACCCGATTGTTGCTTGCCGGACTCGTCGACCTCGTCGGGGAAGGTGATGCGGATCTCGGGTACCGGGCTGGTAGGGCTATCCATGAGGTTCTGCTTTTCGGAGTAGGTGATGACGGATTCCCGGCCCTTGTACGGCATCGCAGTGATAGTCAGGCGGTTGACATTTGATTGGCGCTTCTCGTAGACGGGGAGTTCTGGGTCGGCTTGGGCTTGTTTCCTGCCTCTGCGGACGCTGCGGAGGAACATGAGGCCTCCTATGCAGAGCATACCGAGGAGAACGAGCATCATGAGGGTAACGAGCAGGGCGAGGTGGGTAGAGCTGAGGCTGCCATCCTCGCTGCGCTTGATAAGGTTGATGTTCATCATTATGATATGGGTGGTATTGTGTTTCGTTAGGGCGTGTCGATGGCGTGCAGATAACTCTGGGGTTGGTAGTATTGATTAAGGAGTGTAGTTGCTGTTTGCATGTTAGTTCCCATTGTCCCGCTCGCATTGCTTCTGTTTGGTGTTGTGGTTGTACATTCGCGCGGAGGCTTGGCGGAATGTGACGGACGCCAACGGGAACAAGCGGATACGCACCTGATAGCACCGTCGGTTCGCAAGCTGGTGAGTTGATAGAGAACGAGAGACACAAGGTGGGAAAGAGCGTAATGCGAGATATCGCTGAAAGAGTGAAGCGATAAGTCGACGAGGGAAGAATGAGTGAAGGTGGGCGAGACCGTGGAGGAGGTGAGCAAGGAGGTCGAGATGGGAACCAACGTTATTTTGAACCGCCTTGCGGTCACCAATGCAAAATGCAGGTACGATGCACTGATAGCGAATCAGCGATCGGCACTAAGGCGCGCACCTTCCTCTTTACCTAGTTTAGGAGAGGAAGCCGCCCACGCTAAGCCGCGTCCGTGAGGCACAATAAGATGACGGTAGCACGCTCATCCTCTCGATCTTATTTTTGGCTTCGCTGGCGCCAGCGATCTCCCCGCCGCTGCCGCACGAGACCACAACAATCAGGGTCGTCCTTCTGCGATGGTTCCCAAACCCGAGCCAAAGTAAAAACGCCGTCGCCGCAAACAGAGCAAAACAAACAACGGTTATAGCGCGTGGAGTATTTTCTGATATGCAAGGGGCGGTAATAACGAATGACGGGGGTAGGATTTAGCCAGAGGTCGAGACTCTCCGGTGTGGATCGCCAGTGGATCGTGGCCAGCACGTACTCCTATTGCGCTCGGTTGAAGCGACCGCCCCAGACTATGTACTGTCACCCTCACGACGCCAATCTGGATGTTGCGTTAAGCTTATCGAGTACGAGACGCGACGTGTTTTAGACTGATTGTGACAACGGCGTGGAGACGAGTTGACAGCGCTGGCTGAGACGAACGTCTTGCCCGAGTGCGGAGCGATGCAGGATTATGCTGGTCGATAGCACATGCCACAGCAACGCGCGTAATGAACGATGGATTTGTGGACCAGTTCCAAGGCTGGCGCAGGGAGCACCGTGTGGTGATGGAACTCGAGCCTCCTCAGGCACGTCTCTCTTGCGTTCGACAAAGCCTTGAAGCAGCCCTTCATCACCGCAAAGTTGGCATAAGGCTTCCGCTCCACCCACAATGTCGCAGTCGTCAGCAGCGCGCAAGTGACACGAGGGAATTCGTCATGGGCCTACGGATGCAGCCAGGCCGGCACTTGGCTTCTCCACTGCGCCCACTCGGTTCCTGTCCCCGCCGTTAAACATCTCATCGTCAGGCCCTGCGTTTGAGCCTTCGGGACGTTTGATGCCTTCCCGTTTGCCTGACGCCAAGTGACCCCTTGACTCTGGGGCTGTCGCATGTCGTCTTCTAGAAGCGATGAACTGTCTGCGATTGAGGGGAAATGCTGTCACCGGCTCTTCTCAGACAGCTACATGGCACTGGGTGGTGTTCCATCGTGACCTCGCGGCGATCAACGGTGGCTTATCGTGTGTAACACCACTCAACGCAACAAGAGCGGTGTAGATGTGAAGCTTCATGACGAACACAGTCAGAGGAGGAACTTTATCACGAAGAAAGCACTTGGCGATTGCAGCAGTTTGCTCTGTCTGTTGGCCCGCCAGCGCAGCACGGCTATGAACACAGAGCGGAGATGGGAGGCTCACTGGACGCCTCGCATCCGACTTGCAGCCTTGCAGCGCAAACCCGCAGCTAGGAGGCGTTATATTTGCAGGGAGTGTTGGCAGCGAGGACAATCCATGGATGATCTAGGTCACGAGCGTGAGAAGGCTTTTCTTCATCGATCAAACCCACAGCGAGTGCGACCGTGGTTGCCGTGCATCGTCTGCTGTGCCTCCAGGCAATCACGTCGATGAGTTCCTCATGTCCATGCATGTCACTCAGGCTGCATCGAGGTCGACCAATTCGCTCCAAGTAAGCAGACAGAGGTCAATTGGTCATCGCAGAAAAGTCGACGAGGGCAACACATGGTGGGCGTGGGTTGGCTACCGAAAGTCTTGTGGCTACCAAGAATCTTGTCCCGACGGCAAACACTGGCATGCAGGAGGGTGAAGGCGTAGCAGAGGGTGCGCTTGGACGTGGCGGCAGGGTGGTGGTGAAACACGACGGGCCTGTAGATAATGCTGAGGGTCTCCTATCCATGCATGGGGAGTGTCTCAGGCTGCCATAACGACACCTCGCATCACAGAGGATCGTCCGGATTCCGTTGCCGCATCGTCCCTGACTCGCTCTTGGCACACGCGAGCGCATTGCAGCCGGTGGGCGCAAGAGGAAAGAAAACGGAGGATATTTGTTCTTAGGGAGATCATACCTCAGATTCTAATCGCACCGTCGACCCTCTCCCCAAGCCTGGCCTGCATCCAAGCACCCGAAGACCTCTAGGCGACGCTTTCGGTACAACCTGAGCCTTAGCGTTTCCCCAGTGCTTTAGTTGCCCTTAGTTGCCGATCCTATCCTCCAGGGCAGTCGCATCTTCATCACCAAAAACACATCTTCCGAACCCACAGCTGGCGCAACCCTCTCCCTCAGGCTGCGCCCCGAAACCTCTGCGCCCGCTACCAAACTCGCGCGCCCGGTCTGCCCACACACACGCCCACCGCCCGCACGCCCGCCCATTATCTATATCCTCCTCCCGCACCGCTGCATTCGTGCCCTGCCTCCCGCCCTTGCACTCCCCGCCGCTGCATTTGGTCATCGCACCCGTATGCGTCCCCCGCCTGGCGCGCAACATCATTGCTTCAAGACTAGCATGAACTGTGTCTAGAAAGACCCCATCACCCACCCGGACCTGCATACCTCGCCCGCACCCACGGCCTCCCTCCCTCGGACGTCCGCGACCACCTCTCTTTGTTCGCCGCCGCATCCGTGTGCACCACGCCGCCGCACAATATATTCATAGTCCCTCACTATACCGGCTGGAAAGAGCGTCCGTATTCTCTGCCCCCGCACCTGCCCTGTCTGCGCTGACGCCTGAGCCTAGTCCGACCCTCGCACTCGCGCACGCATAAGCCACCCCGCGCATCCTCCACCGGACTGCACTATATTCTCCGCTGCCTAATAACGTCACTCTCGCCTGTAAATGAACAGCACGCCCGGTGATTCCAGCCGTAACATGGCAGTCATGTCCGCCAATGTGGGTAGCCACTTCCCTATGCATCCAGCATGGCGTACTGACACTTGCTCCAGACTCGACCGCGCGACTACTCCAACGGCATCTCGCTCAACGGCACAGACGCCGAGCGCTCGCACGCATCCCCGTGGGGAAAGACTATCTGGAACAACTCCATCGGCTCGTTTGGGCTTGGCTCCGCTGGCAGAGACAACTCGCGTCCCCGAGGTATGCCACAATTGAATTATGACAAGTGCAACGCTGACCCGCGCCCAGAGAACGGTGCCTCCGCAGATTTGGTCGAAGGCAAGACCGGCTCAGGTTCCCTCCTCGCCAACTCAGAGACCGAATGGAGACCCACCGCCCGACCTGCTTGGGGTGAACATCGATCCGGCAGCATACCGAATGCTAGGAGCTCCGGCGTATCACCAGCCCGGAAGCGATCTGTCGCTCAAGCGCCCGTCCAGCAGTACAGCGACAACTCGCCCTCTTCCTTCTTCCCCTCTGCGAGGGGCTCGCTGGCAGGCCAAGGCTCACACGCGAGACCGGTGAAGCCATTCCTTGACCCCACCACTTCCACCTTCACTTCGCACCAGATTGACTCACTCAACACTGGTTTCACCAACTTTGGATTCGGCCAGACAGATGCCACATCCCAACGCCCAGACACTGGCGTCACATCGTGGCCAGACACAGGCTCAGTCCATTCCCCAAGCGAGGATCGCCGGAGCGTAGCAAACTCAGAGTACTTTGCGTCCTCTAGTGGAGCTGGTTCACAAAATGGAAGTCTGCCTCCGTCCCGACACGGTGCGGAACCCGCACCCTTCGGCCAGGCAGCAGATGCCTTTTCTAGACTCTCTCAGCTTCCCCGTCAAGCATCGTCCTTTTCCATGGCCAGTGGCCGTGCCTTCCAAGAACGAAGCGGGTCGATACAAAGCGAGTCGTTTGGCACGTTCGGAAGGCTGAGCCACGAGCAAGAGCAAGACGCGCGCATGGGACCGAACAGGTCGTTCAGTATCAACGCATTCACGCCAGCAGCAACACCCGGGCAGGACATGAACGGTGCACTCTCCAGAGCAGACGACGGCAACTTCAGCAATGCAGGCACATACACCCCAGATGGTTACCCCAACCACCAGCTCAACTCGCAGCTACGTTCCTCTCAGCTTGACAACAGTCGGAGTGTGCCGAACGGTACTGGCGTTCGTCAGAGTCCGTTCTACTCTCAGATGAGCACACCACCTGTGTACGACCGTCTCAACCCGTATACCAGCGAGCAAATGTTGGCGCATCCCAACAGCGTCACGCAGCTCCAGAACAAACTCGCTGGATTCCAGATGGCGCAACAGGAACGGCGTAACTTCATCTCTCCCAGCCAACTTCACCAGCAACAGTATCAGCACCTCTTTCCCGCAGCTCAGCTGCAAAACCCATACCAGTACCAGTATGGTCTCCCCAACGGCCTGCCCCTTTCCGCTATACCACAGCACATGAACGTGCCTTCGATGCAGCCCATGCAGCCTGTCCAACAGCAGCCACCCAGGGGTCCTCGGGAGCAGCAGGTCGGCGATGGTCTCGGGGCAATGAGCATTGAACTGTCCAACTTCAAGAGAGAGCAAAAGCAGAGCAAGCGATGGGAGCTTACCGACATCAAAGGCCATGTGGTGGAGTTTGCAGGAGATCAACATGGCTCCCGCTTCATCCAGCAGAAGCTCGAATCAGCCAACAGCGAAGTCAAGGAGAGCGTCTTCAGAGAGCTTGAGGAGAACGCGCTG